CATCTTCCCCTTTATCCATTTCTGGGTCGGGGGGGACGGCAGCCAGAGCTGCACCCAATTCACATAGCACCAGCCCCTCACTGATCCTCCTGCAGGTGGTGAGTCCACAGGAAGATGGCTTCTCTGTCAGTGACGATACAGCCTTGATTTTTCAGCAGGGGCTTCAGGCAGTGCGGGGTTAAGTGTCTTGCCCAAGGACATAACGACAGCAGACATCAGTGGGAGTTAGTGGAGTAGGTTCCATTGTGGGCTCAAAACCACAACCTTCAGGCCCAAAGGCCAGTGCTCTACCAACTGAGCCACTGTCGCCCCTAATAGATTGGATAATGTGTATCTATGACAAACATGAAAGATGTCATTTGACATATTCCTTACGGCTCCAATAAATATCAACACATCTGTATACACAAATATGAATGAAGACCAAATGTTATTCACATTATCACCGATGTGAAACTACAAGAGTCGTGTGTATCCTTCAACACTTTGACTTGATCTACGTATCCCTCTTACTTAAAGGCCCAGCAGAATGCACCACTGTATGTAATAAAGAAACTGTTAGGAGGTGTACTTATCTGAAACAGGACACACTACTGCTGATAAGGCACTTTCTCATGGGCCTTCTTTTGAAGCAATTATAGTTAAAGCTGAACTCATTATTACGACAGTGAGCAGAAGTCAGTGATGATGGTTTTCTGAAGGTTGAATCAAACATATCTATTGGCACCGTCTCAGATGCTCAGGAGGAGCGTCCTTGATGTGTCAGGGAAAAAAAAATCACATTCACACTGCAAATGTTTGGTCGTGTCTCTTTACCAAGAAAAACATTTCTTCTGCTGGGACTCTGCATCTTGTCATTTTCTTCACCTGTGACAATTTTATTTATTCTTAATTAAAAAGAAATCTTCACAAAGTCCTTCAAATGAGGAGCTAAGATTTAGCCCAAAACCCATAAAAAGAACAAATAAGTGGAAAAGTCATTTGTGAGCAGCAGCCAGTTTATTGGTCATTGGAAGTACACACAGAGATGGGAGAACATAGCTGCACTACGAGGAGACAAACACGCCTCTGCAAAGCAAAGGACACACAATGAGTTCATACAAAAAAATGTACGAAGTTTTCCTTGCCATGCGCTTCATCAAATCCAGTAGAAATGGTCGTGGAGAGAGTTAAAAAGGATGAGATCCTGAGGCTTCACATGGACCACAGTAAGACTGAAAGAATTACCAAGCATGTAGATGCACAAATAGATTAGTTTCTGTACATTGAAAAGATTACTGACAGCAGATATTGTCGATTTCTGTGTGTGGCATTAAATACAGGGCTGAGGCCAAAGTATGTTTTTTACAAATAATAATTTGTTCACAGCATGTTTCAAGTGCATTTAAAAAATGTGTACCTTGTCAAGTGCTTCATGCATGTTTGATCCAGCTTCACCCTGTTGCATTCAGTTTTGATCCAGAAATGTTTCAATGGGTTGCACTGGTGTGCAAACTATTTTCATGGATTTTATAACAGTATCAAAAATTGATTATATACACAATTGTTTTGTTCTTTTTTATTCAGTGATAGTGTTTTTTCTTTTCAAAATCTCTGCTTTATTAATTAATCTTCAGCAAATTAAGTATAAATCTGTAGTTTCTACAAAACCGTATCAAATGTTGAGAATTGTACACGGCTTGTGACGCTGTCATTATTCAGTTATGGGGACAATACAATTAAGTATTGTTGCTTGTGTGAGTTTATACTCACCACATGTAAGCACCAACCTATAAAACAGTTTGAGATGAGGACAAATCTGAGGCACTCTTGACATTTAAATAAAAAAATATTTCATGTACCGGGATGCTACGTGTTTCAGCCTTGTACATTAAAGGATTTTTATTTAAATGTTTGGTTTAAATAAAACTGTTTGGTTTTATTTTGGTTTAAATTATCGGCAGTAGATTAGGGTGCAAGGCAGGTTAAATGCAGAGTCGTTTTGACACACCAGTCTGTGCTGACACAGGCTGGTGTGTCAGGGTTTGGGTGAAAAAAGTATTTCTCTACAGGAATGGACCTTATGCAAAAGGGTAAAAATATAAATGACTCAAACATACATGAATCGCTCTAAGACCATTTAGAGTGTGTAAATGACAAGGGAAAACAACTATACCATGGTCAAAGGCTGTGAAAAGTCAATGCACTCCTACAATAAACTATAAAATCATATTTGTCACAACATTAGATTAAATACAATCCCTCCCTTTGCAAGAGCTGTGTCCATTGGCTCGATCAGGGAGGGATGGAGTGGTTCCTAAACAAACGTTCAAAGACCAGCACAGAAAAAGCTGATGCAATCGTGATAAAAACAGACACAAGAGACGACTTCACACTGTCTGTGGCTTTCCTCCTGGGGTTTTTGGTTTGCTATGCAGCTTAGTGAAGGGAAGGACAATAAATACGTCACAAAGAAAATAAGGGGGGAAAAAAGGCCAAAATAGGTTTTAAAAGGTGAAAAATGTCAATACATAGTAAACAGTGCTTGCTTTATGTACAAGTTAAACAGTGGCTGGAACCAGAGACGGGAAAGAGCGGATGTGACCCATGTGAATGGCCATGTTTTTGCTGTAATCCAGAGCAAGAGAAATCCATGCAGCACTTTTACTTGCGCTATTATCCAACAGTGCAAACTTGACTTTGTGCTTTCTCCAGTCCCCATAATGCACCTATGAATCAGGGAAAACCGTGTGAGAGTAGCCCTGGTCTGGCAGCTTGAAGGGAAAAAAGGCTGCATCCAATTTTAGAAAACAAATCCTGTCTTGTCCTTCCTCTCCTTGCATACATTACCTTTTAAAAGGTGATGTCAGTAAATTAATTGCATTTCATCATTAATATTGTATATTTCTGACCATGGGGCATTGTACTAGAATGTAAGGCAAGCATTTTCATCAATAATATATTTATTATAGTCCCCTTGGAAAAATTGGACCCAGTAAGAATTTGCTGGAGGAGTAGAGTTAAACCAATGACAAGGGGGCACAAGGATTTGAATACATTTTGACCAATCAGGAAGCTACATGAGTGAGCATGGGCGGGTTTAAAAAGTTTGTCTTTTTTCATAATTGGAAAAGTAAAGAGCGTTCACAAAACCCATTTCTATTTTTGCCATTAAGAAAATTAAAATGTTTCAGAATACGAAATGTGGTATAAAGGGTTTTTCCAAATTTGAATATGGCCAATTACAAACACAGCCATGCGATCGTAAATAAAGTAAATTGACAAAACCTATTACAGGCCGTCCTTTGGTTTTAAAAAGAAGAACACAGTTTTGAGATTGATATAATGGTACAACGTCATCATACTATTACAGGACTGAGACAGTCGCTTTGGCATGTTTGTGCCAGAAGTTCCTGATATCAGTGCACATGGTACTAAAAACTCCAGGTCTGTGACTGATGAAGAACAATGTTGTAACATGGTTAAGTCATTTATGCTAAAAATGTCTGGTGATGATACTCCAACCTGAGCCCAGTCCAAACACTACATGTCCGTCTCTCAGTTCAGCACATTCAGCCACTCTGTTGGCTCAAAGAAAGTAACGGCCAATAGTAACAGTATGGGATCGGAACATCTCTGCTTTACAAGGATAAACATTTGATAAATACAGATGGTAATTTACTGTACATCATCAGTGTGAAATTACAAAACGGCAACTTCTGGCCAATATCACTAATAGCATACTCTACAGTGACTCAAAGTGGGCTTCACTCCCGACAGCTCTGCAGACACAGGTCGATATTGAAACATTTAATAGATATAGATCCAGTAATATGGGTTATAAGGAGGCTGTATATAATAAGCACTAGTGGTCTAAGAAATCTTGCTTTATTGCCGAAATGTTCCGGCCTGTGAATAAGTTTGTTTTTGAAAAAGTAAAATAGACAAAACATTCTGAATTTTTATTTGGGAACAAACTCGATCCCAAAATGAGTGACTAATATTTTGTTATTTTAAATGAAAATAATAGGTACTGTCCCTTTAAGGCAGAACGCCGTAGCTTTTACTTAGACAAGGTTGATTTGAAGTTACTTGCAGGATAAATGACATTTTAATTAATTCTTTATTAAGAACACAGAGAATATGGTTTCAACAGTTAAAAACACAATTGGTCTCATGTTGTAACAACTTCTTCCTCTTCACATCACAGCTTTTTCCAGTCCCTTCACTTGTATTAGTCCAGATCAGTTGTCAGCAAATATTAAAAGCCAAAGTATTGAGACCAGACTTGGACTGTACCTCACAATATTCGCATTAACATGAGGAAGGAGGGTGCATTTTTTTCAGACGAGAAGCGAAGCCAAATGGTCTTTACTGAAGTGAGATCGATGTTCAATGACAAAAAAGAAGGGTCTGCTTTTGACTTTGCTCCATCTAAATCTTGTTGGTAAATTGGTTATAAATACTCAATCTAGGCTGGAGACAAGCGATTGACCAGTCATAGGCCACATCTTAGAAGGAGAGATGCAAGAATGAAGGTTTTTGAGCAGTAAAGACATATCTATTCAATTATGTAGATGTTTTATATCATATTGCAAATTCCAAATAAAGAAATAACATCACTATGGCAACAAGCAACCCTTCTCTGGCTGTTTGCGAGCGTTTCAATATTTCTGTTTTCCCCAAAATCTCCGTGCTCTGCTGCTTGTCCGAGCGCTTCAACTGTAGAGTGTGCCATTAGTGGACCTCGCCATATCAGCCGCGGAAAACAAAACAGTACAATAATCCTCAAAATTAGCATCAAATGTGGTGGCATTGTTCAAGAATACGGATTGTCACTTTATAAGACCCAGAAGGCTTATCCATAAAAAAAGGACTCTATTCGCACAGTTTGTCCGATATTGCGCATCAGCCCTGGCGCTCCGTGTGTGACGCCGAACGTGACCCAGAGGCGGGGACTGCGAGTATGGGTGTCCCCTCCGGTCGCTCCCCCCCCTTCTCCGTCTCTGGGTCTAGGTCTGTCACTGTTCCAGGGTGACCACCTCTACAGCCTGGCCGTCCAGTGTCACAGTGTTCTCGATGCGCGTGGCCACCGGAGCCATGGCCACCTGCACGGGCCGGTTCCCCTGCGCCAAACTGGTCACCACAGTCTGGTACATGCTGACGGGGATCTGCACCAAGCCTGGAAGAGTAGAATAGCCTTTAAAGAAGAAATATCAGGCATTATTGGAGGCTCGTAAACATGGACAAAATTATTTACTTCAGCAGGTATTGTTTTAGAATGTGAAATAGTTTCCTTTGTAGAAAAGATATGCATAAAAGATAAGAAAGCTTGTAATGACCCACTTCACCAAAGTGAGGTTTGAAATTATTCTACTTTTTTGTAGATGTAAACACTGTTCTGGTCTGTGCTCATTCATTATGTCATATTTAAATGATTGGGTGTTGGAATCTGACTTACAGCCTTTAATAATATCGCAAAAAGGCCATTAGAATCAAAATAACTTAAACTGCAGGACTCTATAAACTTGCTAAAACGGCTAATAAATCTCTGCCTCCTAATGCACAAAACTTGATAGAGATGGTCACCCAAATGACAGACTAAAGAAATCTAGAACTACTTTAAAACCATGTTCAAATAGGATTTCCGCTTTAAAAAAGGAAAAGGAAAAGTAGAGAAAGTGATGGGGAGAGGTGTAGGGTGTTTGAGCCTGTGTTATGTATTTAGAACATAAAAGGCTTATATATTGTGTTTATTTTATTAAATGCTCTTACTGTTCTCTATGTGCATTGCAGCACAACATTTCCCGACTGTGGGAGAACTACAGGTGCTCTTATCTGACTGAGTGCGTATATATGTATATATGTGTGTGTTTGCGTTGTATTGTATTGGTCTTATTGTATTGTCTGTTTGACTTATAATAATTGTAATTCACAATACTGTCTCTTTCTCCTGCCAGCTTTAAACTTGAGAGATCAAGCCAAACTCTGGGTTTTTTTCCTTCCCAATGTGAACACAGCGCTCCTCAACAATGGTGCGGTCTGTGAGTGGACCTGGCTTCCCCCATCCCCAACTGTGAGAGTTGCCCGAGGGATTAGGACCAGGGTCACGTGGGCCCAGCTCCACCCGACAAGCTGTCTGTCTGTCTGTCTGTCTATGTGTGTCGCTGGCAAATATATTGCTCAAATGCGCTAAAAGGCATTGCATTTTTTATTTATTTGCTTTCCTTTATTAATTTCCTACTTTTTATGCAAAGCTTGAACAGGGCTATGTCCGGTTTTTATAAGATGCGTCACAATCAACAAGTATTTATTAATGCATGATATTTATATTTACAAAGCAATATCTATGTTAGCTGTAGCATGTCTATGAACACTTTGACACTCAAAAGGGTTCTTCAATAGGGCTGACAAATGATTCATTAGTTTAATTTGATTACAAAATGAGGAAGCACAGATCAGCATTTGAATTATGAGTTTAATTTATTTTTCAAAGCTTGATAATCATAATCTTGTTTCTTCAAGTTCCGACTTCCTTCAACTCATACCTTGTTTTAATTGTCTTTTTACATCCACACAGAAGCTTTCATTTCTTCCTGGTGCGCACTGAGCCTGGCAATCTTGGTAACTTTGCTCCTCACTGTGCGGAGCTGCTTGGAGCTCTGTTGTCCTGCGCTTGTAAACATGATTGGAATATGGAAAATGATCTGGATCTTATATAGGCGCTCCTGTGAGCAGCTCGCTGTGCAGGGAAGCCCCGCGTCAAAGTCATAAACATACAGGGAAATAGGATGAATTCACCGGCCATGAGAATAAATATATGATTGAGCCATGATTAATGCAATGATTTAGTTTGTAGTTTAGTTTCTACATACAAACACTGTTTCCAAACTGGAACGATAATGCTTCAGTAATTTACTTCCATTACAAATATAAAATCTAAAAAATAGAATATATCTCTGCATTCAGGTAAAGTCCATCTTAAATATGAGTGCAGTCTAGCTGTCAATTTCCCTATGCAACAGCAGCACCAGAGCTTTGTTTCTAATTCCAAGTGAGAAAATGGCTTTAAGTAAGACATTTTATGCTTTAAACAAGACGTATTAAATGAATGCATTTGTTTATCAAATTACAAGTAAAAAATACTTCGTACATTGTCATTTCATATTTTAGAATGTGAAAATACATGGTGAAACAAGAACCAAGGGTAAATAAAGCTTTATGCCTGTAACTCCAGATACTACCACCAGAGGGAGGAGTGGAATGAATTATTCTTTTCCAAATTTGAAAAAGGACCAGCGTTCACCTGAGTAACTACACAAACTGTACGGGGAAATATATTTGTTTTAAAAGCTCAGAGTGAGGCTATAGTGGTACATTGACATCACACTATTACAGGTCTGAGGCAGGAGCGGATTAATATACAAGTTCCTGATATTAGTGTGGATGGATCGAAATGCAATTGTAGGTCTGGGACTGATAAGAAACAACGTTGGAACCAATGTGGTTTCTCTTTTAACCAATGATGAAAAGAGATTAAAAGATTTGTAATACGTCTCCTTAAGAGCAGGAACATGTTCTTGAATAAGAAAGTATGAAGATGTATAAATAAAACAATTAACATTTAAACATTTATGTTATCCATTCTAACCGTCTAAAACTACAAACTTTAAATTGCTGATGTATAGCATTTTCAATTGTATTTCATTAGGGACATTGCTTAATAAATGTATTGTACAGACCAGATATAGTTATGTGCTCATTTTCATCTTAAATCCCAGGGCAAAGACAAAGGGAGCGCTATGAACTTGTTTCAAATATTTCTCATTCCTACTTATTATATTTCCCAAAGTTTGTCAGATAAATCACATTTACATTTTTTTCCCAAAACCTTTTGAACCCAAACCAGAACCTTTTGAATACTGATATAGTTTGGACCTAGCAGCTACAGGATCTTATAGATATACAGTATGCTAGCTCCCATCTCAGCAGTAGTTTCAGAACAAGAGTAAACCATGTCCTTTCGTCCCACTTGCATGTTTGTTTTTGGGGTTAAATGTAATCACAGCAACACTCAAGTGCAGTTCAGTTGTGAGGTAGGGCTTTGTGCCTGGTGCATTGTGGGGGGTGATGCCCGACACAGTCAATCATTGTGCAGCAGGACACTTGAAAGAGCCCTCCAGTCCAAAGCAGCACTTCAGTGATTAGCTAAGGTCAACATGAGAGGAGCTGGGTGGGCTTATTGGAGCCAAATGACCCTTATTGTTCTGCAGCTTTGATATAATTACAATAATCACAAGGAAATATAAATTCTAATGGTCACAATTGAATAGGTTGAAATGTTTTTTTTTTTTTACTTACACATGAATACAAAATACTGGGATTATGGCAACACTGATGTGGTGTCCATGGAAACAGGAGGTTTAAATGTATAGGCTCACTACAGGTCAGGTTTGAGGCAATGCAAGCCTGTCCACAAAAAGGGTGTATTATTTTGAGATGGGTTTGATACCTGATCACCAGTCAGGACCCCAAGACCTATGGCCTGACCGCCTGCTCCCACCAGGGACACACTGAACCCTGTTGATCGAGCATTTGTTTTAGAGCAATGAAAGACGCAGTTCAATTGTTGCTTTATGCAGATACAGTACATAATATTATAGACTTTAATTCCCAAAGCATCAGAGAGTGACTTACAGGGCTCTGTCTTACGAGTATGCAAAAGATAGTAACTTTTTCTAAAAAGATGAAGATTGCATGTTATGGTCTGATTTGTTTATTTCTGTTTCTTCAAACAAACTCTGATGAAAATGTAAAAGTTAGGAACCCCAAATTTAATCCTGCGCATTTCTTTGTTTTAAACTCTTTTATTTTACTTTGGGACTGTTTATGTTGCAACCACATGTCATCATATACAGTACATTTACAGTTTAAGTGGTGTCCTTGTCTGCACTGTAATCGTAATGAGGCGGGTCAAGCTGTTGAGAGGGTCTCTTTGGGATCAACACAAGTACTGCCGTAAATATTTTAAAGCTCCATATAAAGCATTAATGAGGACCTGACTACGTGATAAAAGGAGAATATTGTGCGTATTGATTATGCATTGATCCGGAGCCTGATCCTTAAAACACATTTACCATTACATCCACGTCGGTGAGAACGACCTTGTTCCCTGATGTATGGATTGTGCAGAGATCAGTGTCCGCTGCTAATCAAAGCAAAAGCAGTTCACTGGGACTAGATTTCACACGCAATTGATCGACATCTCATATTATTTATGCAAAGTGCATTAAATGATTTTTCAGGGGATCTAGAAGCTCAAACATCAGAAAGATCGATGGAAAATGGATAACGCAGGGTCAACAAAAATAAAAAATGTAATAGCCATATTTCAATTGGACTCAACAAATGCTTTTCTGTAAATAAAATAGGACTTATACGTTTCGTAATGGCTTTAGGGATGTGTTTGTGCCAGAAGTTAACATGGTTAAAGACTAAACACATGAATTTGCATAAGTATATAATTTCATACAGACAGTGCCGTGCGGAAATACTAATAAATCTAGTGCTATTTGTGTTTTATATTTATATGTTTTAATGACCTGTTTTAAATTGAATTAAATGTGCGCCATCCACCTTCCATTCAACCCTGACACTCATCCCTGTACCTGCTGAAGAAGATGCTTCCACGCCCAAATTCAACTCTGGGGACAGTGCACTGAGGGCATGACCGGAGCCAGACGTGACATTTTGCATTTGGGCCTAAATCTCATCTGACCTCAGCACTTTCTCGCACATGTTGAATGTGTCCCCCACTTTGCTTCTTACAACACCGACTTTCTACTTATCACTCGATCATAAAGGCCAAATTTGTGTGGGGTACCCATGTACAGATTACCCAGGTGATTAGTGAGCTTGGGAAGACAGCAGAGTCTTGGTAGATTCGCGGTTGTGTCATTCTCTTTCCACTCTCACATGACGGATAAAACACATCTGTGAGATGTTAAAAGCAAGTAACTAGGGATACACCACAACCATAGGCTTGTACTCATACCATAGGACCTGATTCCTGCAACCGATACCCACATTTTTGTAATTTACACTAGCGTCACGGCAGCAGTGTGGCACGTGTTGGCATGGTGATTGCTTAACTTCTGCAGCGAGAAAGCAAGCTACCAGCAAGCAGACAAGACGAGAGTGACAAGAGTAAAGCGGACTGCACGTTGTGTAAAACTGTCACGAGGTGGGTCCAAAACAAACATGTACAACACCAGCAACTGGATCACCACGCAGAGTAAACTTTGCTATCCCTGGAGCTATTTCTATGTATCATTTGTATGAGTGGAATATGACAGTGGCTTATTATTATTGTTGACTGTTAAGAAAATGCTTAATAATTTAACATTTTAGCAATTGTTTTATTGATAAAACATTTTAATATCCAGTTGTATTCGTTTTCTGATATCCCAAGGATAACATAACTCAGTAATATTTACAGTCTACGTGCAGTATTCGTATCAGCAAATACACAAATTATGGTATTCGTATCGGTTTTGAAAAAACTGGTATTGGTGCATCCCTACAGGTAATGTTATCCATGCTTTAAACGCGACAACAAATTCCTCTCCTCTCCTTACCCTTCATGATGCGGTTTAGCGAACAATACATTCCGACCACAGTTCTGAGGCTCTCACAGAACAGCTGTGATCTAGTTGAGATTAGATTACACCCAGATGTGTGCTATTTAATTGGTAGGGCAAGAAATGAACATTCAGCATCAGGACATTGAATGCACTCAGGGAAATGCTGTATGGTCAGTGCTAATTCTCAGATTTTGACTTTTTTTTTTTTTTTTTACAAATAGAACCATGTATAAAGGTAAATTTCCCTTCACAGTTTTCCGTTACTTTGTTCTGGTCTTTCAATAAAGAATAATACAAAACAAAATATATTGTCGTCCTGACACTGCTAAAGTTGAGGCTGTGCTGTCACTTCCATAAAACAATGTCGGCGCTTTCTCTCCAAAACACATTGCAAAGGGACTTGGCCGGATGGTCCAGGTCAGTGTTGGGGTCAGTCAAAAACCGGGTCTAAACTTGACTAAACTAAATGGGCAGTGAAGCGCCATCTGGCCTTTTAGCGCCGAACAGATTACAGGGGCCTCCAGTATGAGGATTATTCTGCTACAATCATTACATCTTATTAGCTTGCCAAGGCTTACGTTTCATTACTGTACTTACCATGTATGCAATTCATATTTTCTGGAGATTTTGAGATAATTAGAAAATAAGCTATGGAAAATACCTAAAAACTAAGACTTACACATATTAAACAGTTCAATAGAAATGAGTTCAACTTCCAGCTCAGTGCAGAACTAACTGTTAACACTCTTATAATTTCATTTATTTTGCATTTGCGTTTTAATTTGAAAAGGCAAGTTTGAGGTAAGTTTTGTTGTATACCACACTTCATCCACAAGGCACTAATCAAGTGCTTGAGTAGTAGTTACATAACACGACTAGAATTGCAATGGTAATGCAATAATATGTGTTACTTGAGTATAATTGGATTTTCATTTGAAAATATGTTTAAGATCCAAACAATTGAACAAACGTTTGAGTAGAAATTAAAGATCAGTATTTATTATCTGTACTCTGAATTCCTTGTGTAACAATGTTGACAGTTTGGGATTTTATACAATTGAGAAAGAATGTGTTACATACATCATATATGTGGGATGAGAGATAGTTCCATTGGAAGATCTTCAAATTATACTTTAATCAACATACATTGTCCCTAATTCAAGAAATGTTTTGCCCATATTGTGTTTTTGTTGTTGCAAAGGATAAAACAATAATTGAAGTCTTTGCAATCAATTAGGGCCATTATAATTGTCATTTGATTGCAATGACTCTTGCCCTCTTGGCCCTGTGGAAGCCTCAAGCACAGGACAATTACATTTTAATTCTATTTCATTCAATTGGAAATATTGTTCTGAAGGAGTTGTATGACCCAAATACTCTCTAAATCTCTTTAGAATCGTCTCACCTGGAAACATATTATTGGCATTGATTTAAAATGTATTATAGCACCACTAGTTAATATGTGCATTAGAATATTGTTCAAAAGTCCTTTTAATTCTGTAATTCAACAATGTAAAACTAATGCATCACAGACAGATATACTAAGCTTATAATTGGCTCGCAGCTTGTAAAAACCCAGAATAAAACAACTGAGAAAAATTGAATATTATGATAATAGCCTTTGAGCCATATTAGTCAAAATTAGAGCTTACATTATAGAACGATATTCTAATTTTTTGAGGTACGCAGTGTTAACTGGTCATGAAGCAGACCTGATGAATTTCCTTGCCAATGCAGGAGGGGGTCTGTTAAACTGTTAGTGGGTCTACCAAAAAGGACTGTGGTGATGTGGTGAACATTCATGGACCTATGGATTTGTGTTCTATATTTTTTGTGTATGAACAGTTTGATTCTCTGATCTGTGTTGGCAATTTCAACGGTTTTGTTAAGTCCTCTGAGATAACTAGTGTTGTGATTTAGGGCTATTCAAAAATAAAATGAATTGAATTGATATTGAATTCATGACAAGAGTGTGTGCATAAGTGAGTGAGTAATAGTAATATCATTGAGCCCATGTTTAAAGGTTTTATATGGTGGTGTGCTTGGTGATGAAAAGCGTGTGGTTGTGATTGTACATGCATAGTTCAGCCAGTGTACCTGTGGCGTCCTGCACCCCGGCTAGTGCCCCCACCGCTGCTGCCGTCTCTGCCAGGACAATCTGCCCTCCGCCCTGCAGCGTGGCCTCCGCTAACGTGGCCACGGCATGAGCGGCCGCCTCACTGCAACGACAAACAGTGTGGTCAGTCAAAGAGGTCGTCTCCATTTTTGTGTACGTTTTTGAAAATATCGGCAAATATGCTACCATGGCAAGTTATAACTAAAGGATTTTGTCATGAAAACCACCAATTTTTTGTAAACAACAATAATGCAGTAATAATGTATTATTCATTTTTTTTAAATCTATATGTCCAGTTCTATTTCAACAACTTTTTTATTTACAAATCTTAGTATTTAATTATCATCGTTCAAAATACTTTTACATGTGAAAAGGTAAATACACAGAAAAAAAAACACAAATGAGCTTACAAACACAACTTCTATATGCCAATATTTTCACCCCTTATCTTTAAAATAAACATATTTCCAGCAATATCTATGAAGCCATATTAAAATCATCTTGAATGGTGTCCTTTGCTAACTAGTCTATTAAAGAGGTTAATCAAGACTTTACTGATCCCTGTAGGAAAAATTCAGGAGTCCATTAAAAAAAAACACATCCATCCATACAACAAATAAATACATAATTCTAAAAGTTATTACAATAGTAAAAAAGTGCAACAGCACTTTAGGTCACAGCAGCACAGGCCGCTGGTGATGAGCTGTTTCTTATCCTCCGGATGATGTGAGCCGAGTCTGTTATGTTCCAACCATTTTCTCTGCTCTGGATCAGTGAAATTCTGAACGCTATCATCCTTTTTCAAAGAAATTAGCTTTCCATCGAATGCATAGAATATTGCATTTGATATTTGATAATAATAAGATCCAAATGTCCTATATTATTCTTATGCATAATTGGCTTGTCAAAAGGACTCTCGGACATTTGATTTCATAACACTTCTAGATTAAGATTAAGAGATCCTTTATTTGTCCCACAGTGGGGAAATTTCTAGATACCTTTATGAGAAAATTATTAGACATTAGTTGTACTGACAAAGACTTGGATAATTGACTGTCCTGTGGGATTGGACGAGTTCATGGCTGTGAACCAAGCCGAGGGGATTTCAGCGATGGAAATCTCAACCTACATTTTAGCCCAGATGCTAGCTAGGCTTTTTAAAGAAACTCTGCCCTTAATAGTATAACTTATCCTTGCAGTTCAAGGTTTAAAAACAATTTATAAGCTTGAATAAATAAGAGGAGATAGTTTAGGGTAATCATACTTGGCCCAAATTGCAATTTTGTCCTCCAGGATAACAGAAAATTTTTTATTAAATTAATGTTTTTGCGTAATCAGTATTTTTTTACGCTCGGTAAACATAATGATTGATTAGAACTATTGTTGGAACTTCTTGTAATGTGTAAGGTAGCTTTAAGTTTCACCGGGTTAAGTTTCCCAGTTCACTACAACCATGACATAAAAACAGCAGTGAAAGATGCCAAAAGTGTCAGACATTGGACATGCTTGAATATTATCTCTGAAACCAAAACTTGTGCCTTCTAGAGACAATAAAAGGCCTGGAATAAGCAAATTGTTGTGCTAGCAGAAATGTAGCATGTGCACACACATAAAGGCTTATTAAGAGGTAGAGCTGTAAGAGGCTTTCCTTGTCTGGACTTATGGAGAAGCTGTTACATCTACTAATGGCCAGGTGCCGCACTCTGAACAAAGCAGTTTGATTGAGCATTGGACTTAGCTGCCCCCGAGCATATTACATGTCAGCTTCACAATTATCCAACATGTGTCCGGAGCTTTGAACACAATCGCATCGGACTAAACACTCCTATGATCAGTATGGCACACAAAACAACGCCATGGCCCTAGAATTACCCAGCAAAGTTTCATTGTGTTTTGTGACAATTTTTAGTATAGCAAAGTTAATTTGTATAGCTTTTCACAGACCAGAATCACAAAGTTCTTCAAATTTAAAAAACGTACAATAAACATACAACATGCAAGTCAACAATTATAAACTTGTATGTCATACCATTCAATAAAATGGTAAAACATAAGACTGATCTGTCCAGCATCCCTATGTAACAGCTAATTTCCACAGTAGGCCTTAACAGCGCGTAAGCGTTGACTGCACGCAACGTTACTTGGCTTTATGTCCACTGGCCGTGCGCGCAGGTCCGCGGGTTTTCAAGCTGTCCCTGTGTAGTCTATGCAGAAGTGTAGAGGACAGAACGGGCCAGAGGACTGATGTAGAGCAACACAAATCACATGTATGTGTTTGTCTTCATGGTCTCTGTGTGCTGGTTTAGCCAGACGCGAGACTTTATGAATGAAAAAACAAAAATTCACTGTAAAACCTGCTGCTTGTGCGTTTGTGTGTCTAGATCTAGAGCCAAGGACCGCTACAATCATGTTTCCTATGTGTTTTGACTGGAGACGCCTTGCTGCGTGCACAAAATTAGAAATCCATCCTAAAGTAGGCACAGCCTCGCGTCATACGTCCGTCATACACGCGTAAAACACTAGTAGTGTAAGTATCCCCATTGGTTAACATGTAAAAATGTTACGCGCGTCTGCTGCGCGTACAACGCGTACGTGCTGTACCGCCTCCTGTGTAAATTTACGGGACTACGGATGAAAAATAGCCGCTTGGCTAATTCTGGCATATTTACAGTCAGAAATGTTCATTAATATGCACTGTCCCAGTAATAAATAACTAAATTAGCAGTTAGGCTATGATGCCTGTAAGGTAAGGTGAGAAAGCTAAACAAGTGCCTAAACAAGTGCATCCTAAGTTGAGTCAGCCAGTCAGCTCTCAGCAAACGTCAAATAGTGACTCCCAGGGCTCTTTCTAACAACTATGTAAATATAAAGTGTGGTCTGATTTGTTCACAACATTTTAATTTAACTCTTTCAACCTAACAAACAACATGGATGGAAACAAAAATGCAGTTCAAAAAATTACTTGTTGTCAATCCCCTGGGCTTTTGCACAAAATAGTTAAAGAGAAATGAAATAATATCAGCCGCATTTTGGGTTTAAAACATCTCAGAAAAAGTGTTTACTTAGAGCTGCTGACTGAGCAATTGAATGCAAGCAGCTGAAAAGAAACAAAAGGTCTCAGTTTCCGTGGAGTCACTAAGCAAACACAAACAGAGCAGAGAAGGGTGAGGGGGGACCCAGGTGTGTGCAGGTAACAAGCCCCCAGGGCCACACCTGACTGGAACACAAGCACCATGAAGAACTGGGAGTAATTACGCATCTCCTTCAGATAATGAAATAACTCAGCCACAAAAATGTCTGTGTTTGCAAAGATTAACAGAGTTGGGCGCACTTTAGACCTGTCGCAATATTTGAACCAATGCATTTAGAAATATTACAACAATATTGTGAATGAAATATTTGAATATTGAGAACATCATTCTATAAGGATCATTCTATATAAAACAATTGGATACAAGGCATGCAACAATATGAGAAGGAGACATATATATGTATTAATAGCAGATGACTGATGCTTACAAACAGAAAAGCCCTCACAAAGCAGTTCTAAACGTCCATGTATTAAAGCTGCACTAACTGACTTTGGGATTTTGAAGCCGCGGACCCGCTGGCCTCTCTCTTTCTGCTCCCCTCCCCGCACCCACGAAGCTATCGCCCCCCACACACACCCACTGTTGGGACGGAGCTAGTGTCTCCCAATATGGATAATACATGAATATGGATTTGCACGTGGATGGCGTGACCATAAAACGATAGAACCGGGAAGCGCGGAGGAACGGGACTTTCTTTTGGATGGCTGTTTCGCTAAGTAAGCAGTAACCGGTGATGAAGACACGAAGCTTCAGGTTAGCTCCTCGGCTTGTTGTGCTAACTCAGCTGTCTGTGCTAACGGACCTGTAGATTTCTCACGAAAGTGGGGGCTATTGGTCCGCTGTGATTGGTCACAATCTGCGACCCGAAACACATTCTCTTCCTTGTTTCATCAAAACTCGATCTAAAATATAATGTCATGCCAGCACAAATCTGCGCTAATTATTCTTCAAAAGGACGTATATCCCAATGCACTACATGGACATGGATAGCATTTTCGTAATGAATACGAAAATAAAGTCAGTTAGTGCAGCTTTAAGGGTCCAAAAATGGCTAAAACTAGCTCTTCCTAGTTTTTATTGCTGCTACTGGTTGACTTTCTGTTGAGGTCAAACTAGTAGGAGATGGAAAGGATCTCTATACGCTGTTAAGGAACTCTGACGATACTCGAGAAGCGGAAACAGCGGCCACAGGGCAATGAGCGCACCGCGCCCTCCTCCGGAAGAATTATATTACTGCGCCACTAAAAACATTCGGTCCGTTGTCCTCATATTAACGACGACAACAGAAGCTCACTTTTCGGTTTCTTCGAGTCTGTTTTTCTTTCTTGTACATATTTCATTTTGGATTCTGGTCATGTGCATGTTTGTGCTTAAAGATGTAAAGATAGCAGTTGTTTAGCAGTGAGCAAAGATTTCAATAATAATAAAAAACGCAAAAAAAAGTTTCATGCACCAGAAAAGTCGCTCCTCGTTTGACTGATCACCCTTTCCCAGAGCACATGAAGGCACCATATGTCCATGCTGTCCAGCCCTAATGGCCTTTGTATAAGAGCTGTTAAAGTAACCGATTGAAGCTGAGGCTGACCTGTTGAGGGCCATCGTGACGGTGGCTCCAGGCTGTAGCTCTTGTCCCGTGGCGACAGCAGCGGCCTCTGCTAACGACGCCACGGCCTGCGTGGCCTCTGAGGACTGAGTGGTCTGGATGGTCATCTCTCCGCCCTGAAGAGTGGCCCAGTTCTGCTCCACCTCAAACACATAAAGCAGCTTGTGAAAATCCTGCTGTTCTCACAATTTACAACATCATATGGTCTTCTGTGCAGCACTTTGGAAACATCTTGCCATTTAAATGTGCTACATACATATAAAGTGGATTGGGCTGTATGGGATACCAAACTTTTTCAATGAATACTATATGTGAAACTCGGGGAAAATTAGAATACCGCTCAAAAGTTAATTCAGAAATAAATTTACTTTTATAAATAACTCAACTTAAAATGTGAAACCATGACATAATACAGATATAATATGTATCTTGGGACAGAATATGGCTAGTGACTGACATTTGGTGAACAACCATTAAAGGCATGGCTCTTTCACTGCAAATCAGAGATTCAATCATTCAATATGGACTGGACCTTTTCACAACTTTCAGAAACCTACAGAACAAAACAAAATCAGAGCACTTTTTTATTGGGCAATAACTGTGGTGTTTTCTCAGGGAAAAATGATGAAAAGCATTTCTAAATCATTGCAGTGGAGATGTGCAGATGAGTGAGAAAGTGAGGGATAAGCTTGGACTGCTGCTTTCCAGACAGTAAAGAGTTTACTTGCTTGGTCAATTAATTGGTCAAAGGAAATATTGTTAATCATCATTCATTTATACTCAATATCATAAACATATGTTTATATATCCATAAGCTTTTATTTTGGGCCAAAATATTCACTGCACTAAACTCCTATTCTAGCAAGATACTAGAGATATAGCATAGCATCTTGCAAGAGCTAATTTGTTATTAGTCATAAAAAATAAAAATAAATTAAAATCAAAATCACAATAATTTGCCAATCGTTTTAGGATGAATGGTATCGTATCGTGACCTATGTCTGGTTTATTGGTCTATAGGTATAGGTCAGATACAAGTCAATGCACACCCGACGTAAACAGCCTGCCTGTTACCTCTCCATCCGTGACGGTCGAGTAGTTGACTTGTGCCACCGTGACCCCAGGGAGCTCTGAGGCGTCTGCCAGCGTGGCCACCGTGTGTCCTGTGCCCACCTGTGGAAGGACAACACCATTATCTATTAAACAATACAAGACCTTACCTTTACTACTACTGACTACTATGGCCAGGATCAAAAACATAGTGTCTAAAGCAGACTTGGAGATTCTTATCCATGCATTTGTCTCCAGTAGGTTAGACTACTGCAATGGCCAGCTCACAGGTCTGTCCAAACATACATTTCAAAATGCAGCAGCTCGAGTCCTGACTAGAACCAGGACGTACGACCATATTAGTCCAGTTGTCAGGTCTCTGCACTGGCTTCCTGTGGCTCAGAGAATAGACTTTAAAACAGCTCTGCTTGTGTACAAGTCTCTCCATGGCCTCGCACCAAAATATATTAGTGACATGTTAGTACCATATGAACCAGCCCGGACTCTGAGGAGCACAGGGACTGGCCTCCTGCTGGTGCCCAGAGTCAGAACTAAATACTAAATATTAGTAAATAAAAGAAAAAAAAAGTAACTAAATATCTAAAATTTGGAACAATCTTCCTGAAGATGTGAGACAGGCCTCCTCTCTGACAATCTTTAAAACCAGGTTAATGACAGTTCTGTTTAGCTGTGCATACAACTGAGGGATTTTATATTTGTATCTTTCTTTTTAATGTACTGTGATTATTTATGATTTTAATGCTCTTTTCATTTTAATCTTATTTTGTTCAGCACTTTGAGTTGCCTTGTGTATGAATTGTGCAATATAAATAAAATTGCCTTGCCTTGCCTATTACTGTGTTAGAAAAGTCTTTGCCCCTCACTATGTAACTGTCTGTAGGTGCAAACATGATTCTATGTAAATGGGCCATTCAAGGTGTCGACGCAACGCATGATCCAGTGTGAAAGCACCGTCAGACCTTTCTACTTAGAGATTAAATGTCATTGGGTTTTTTGTACATTAAAAAATATAATAAAATTCACTTGCTCTTTTCATGTTTTGTTTATGTGAATATATTAAGTAGAAAAGATATGGGGAAACAAATATGAAGGGTAATTTGAAGATTAACCATGGCTGTAACCATTGTCATGCGACTGTAGAGAACATTCACCTGAGAAAACAAATTTAGGAGCTCCACCGTTGTTTTAAAATACATAAAACTGCTCTGCGCACGATGTAGTGGTACAATGACATCATAGCACTGAGAGCTTACAGGAGCTCTTAGACAGAAGGGACCTAATATGAGTGTGGAAGGATCTAAAAAAACAACTCAAAAAAAGTTACCATACTATGTCTCCTTTAAAGCTCAGGCACGCAAATCAAGACAATTATAAGATTTCAAAAAGCTGTGAAAAGTGGACTTTGCTGGAGGAGTACCTGTATGAGTGAGACTGTCCCATCGGGATTGTTGACCGTCTGCACCACGGTCTGGGATGGCACCAGGTGTGCGATGCTCTGGGCCGCAGTCAGGTGTGCGTGGGTCACCGTGGTCACCTGGTGGTCTTCAAACGCATAGAGGAGATCTTCACGCCCGTGCTGCTTGTAACAGTTTTTGACAATCGTACGGAGGGCCTGCGTCCACGACACCTTTGGGAGGCGCAGGAAGCACATTGAGACTTTGTCAACAAAAAATTCAACTAAATAGGGGAATTTTCTTTAATTTTCGTCACTAACTTTATACATAATTTGATCATGCAGGTCAATGTTGGCAAAATATCAGAACTATTTCTGATCAACATTGCAGTTGTGATGCTATATTTCTTATATCCTGCATGTTTAAATAGTAAAATTTTGATCAGAGTAAAAAATATAATTTCAAGAGAAAAAAACCTACACAATTCCCACACTTTTCAGAAAACATTCATAGTGTTGTCCTTTGGAACAAACATATCATTATTGAAGAAACAAGGGACTATACTGTATGTAACATGCCCATTACTGGTCTAATAAAGTTATTACAATCACAATAACCTTTGATCAATAATAGGTCAAACATGACTTGTACATGAGACCAATTATCTGGGAACGCATATAAAAGACAATATTAAATTGTTCTTTAAATCTTTAAATATATAGTGTCTTGTGAAAGTGACAATGCAGCTTGGACGTCCAGTGAGGAAGTACTTGGTTACTTCTTACCCTCTGCTTCTGCTCCTCTGTGCGGACGTCACTGCGGACATTCGCCCAAGGAATGTCTTCAGGCCACCACACCGGTTTACAGCTCTCCTTTCCCCAGCCCGGCTTCCCGCGGCCCGTCGAGTACTTCAGCATCTCTGGGATGAAGGCGCGCAGCTGGGCCTGGACACACACACACACACAATGATGAGAACATGAAGGATAATATGCATATTAGAATATTAATCCTATGCAGGAAGTCCCCATTCAACATTCACTCTCTATTGTTAACCCTTTGTGTGACCATGGTCTGTTAAATGCCATTTAAACGGCAGAACCAAAAGAGGTATTTGCAAGCTGTATATTCACTTAGAACTATGCAATATTTTGCTCAGCCTTATTGTATGATCACTTGGACCCTTAAACATGATCTTGAGAACATTTACTTTAGCATTCAATGTTATAGAATGATCATTTCTTAAAGCTGAAATACTTAACTTCATTTGGTTTCATATAGCTTTTGTTTCTCCCAAAGAAAGTCTTGTTTTAGTAAACATAAATAAGAAAACGTTTTATCTTTTACAATCTGAGAGATATGGTTACAAAAGAGGTTTTAGCATCAAATGTGTCCTTTAAGAACTTCAACTACGCACAGACCATAGTCCAAGTCCAAACTATTGTCTGCTCCAGACTGGACATGTGTGAGTGGGCTGACTTTAGCACGCTGTCCTCAGTGTCCTGTGATATGCTAGCATCACCAGGGGATTATTTTGCACAATGATCCACTGCAGCGTCTGCCTGCCTTAACATCAGCAGCTAAATTTGGTTTCAGGAGAAATAAATCCTCCCTTCCTCCACCCTCCACGGTCATCAGAGGATCAAAGCAGAGCGCATGTGTGAGGGCTGAACACCGCACAGTGTGAATGCTCAAATACATATTAGCAAACAAAACATTCCTGAATCTGTGACATTAATTAATTAGTGGGCCCCTAACCAACTTAATATATTGTGCCAAAAAGTATTTTGGCTTTTTCTGAAAAAAGAAAAAACACTTTATTTTTGTATTAAAAATCAGCGAACAAGGTGGATCACATCAGAGTAATAATGATTCATTTAAAAAGGTATATGAGGATTTTCACAAATTTTAGGCAAAAACCACCCTCTCCACTTTTTGAACAAAACTCTTATTTGACGAGCACGTATCCCCAAAATGATTGACAATTAGGAGGACCAATAGTCTTGATCCACCCGGAAGTAGAAAATCCTCTTATATACCTTTACTATTCACCTACAGCTACATCACCTCTACTGATGAGAGCTGAGTGCTAATGTACTGTATTACTATTGTTAGTAACTTAAAGAATGATTTATTTGTTTGTATTGATGGATGTAGTTTTTGCTCCTGTACACCTGAATTACTCTCCATGTATCGATCTTTGTACTCCAGTGTGTAATAAGTGTACAGGTCTGTGCAAGCTCAGTCAGGAAGAGAGTTTAGAGCACCTTGGTCTTTGTGAACATATGTGAGCAGGTGATAGGTGTGGTCAGAGGGTCTGGGAGAGTAGATTAGCAGAATTGCTTTTGTCAGTCAACCCCAGGGCAGATGTGACTAAACAAACAGTAGGAGTGGATCTCAATTTAAAAAACTGCACCCTAATCACAATGCAATCATTTATTTAAAAAAAACTTTAAAACAAAATCACAAACTGCAGAATAAGATTATTGATTGAATAAATGTTATTAGGCCCCCTGCGCATATTGCAGTAGGTTGAGTTCAGGTTTAACACAGAGGTTCAAGGCTGTGGTAGAACTTATCTTATCAGAGGTGCTCAAAGTGTGTGATCCAGGCACAGACAGATGGCCTCGTTACAGCAGCGAGTGAGTTAAGTGACTTGTCCCCTCCCACTCTAACCCCTCAAACACTAATCCTGCTGTGAGCACCAGTCCAATCAGCACCCAGGCCCGTGGACCCAGGCCCTGATGCTCGGACTAAACCACCTGCAGACGCTTCCACACCGCACCTCCTACTCAGCAGCGCTTTCATTTTTTATTTGGCGGAATAAAAATGAGTAGTGACAAAGGCACATATTTGATACCATTTATCCTTGAACCCACCCAAAGATGTTTTCAAGAGTGAATCACCTTGACTATATCTATTATTCTACAACACCCCCGCACATTTGAATCAAGGCTTTTGCTCTACGCTGAATCCTCATTTAGAACTACTATGAAAACAGTTTAGTCTTACTTAACCCTTGTATTATGTTGGAAAAAAATGACATTGATTATGTTGCGGGTCATTTTGACCCGTACTGTGTAAATGCACTCAAAACAGTCAAGAAAACAGGTTAAACCAATAACAACTTTATTTTAGGTTATATAAATATTTAGAAAAGTGACATACAATACATTTTTAAGTCCAACGCTATATTTAAGAATTATTTAGTCTAATCTTCTTGTCCTCCTCTCGGGTCAAAATGACAATTCTTCCCTCCTTCTTTCCTCCTGCCATGCTTTCTCCTTCCTTTTTCTCATCCTGTTTTCCTTCTCTCTGTTCATCCTTCTATATTCCCTTCTTTTCTCTTCCTTCCTTCCTGTCTCCCTTCTTTCCTTCCTACCTTCCTTTCTTCCTCCCTTCCTCTTCTTTGACCAAAGATTCGTCCTCCTTATCGTAGGAAAATTGACAATCTGGATCAGCAATAACGTTGTCCTCTGTCTCTGAAAAATCCTCTGTTTCTGAAATCTCTTCCTCTACATCATTATCCCAGTTAAAAATCTGTGATAAAGCCTCCTCAGATGTTGTCATCCTTCTGGAGCTCATTTTTGGTGAGTTTGTCTAAAGCCTAGCGTACATAGACAGAGTAACTGGAGACAACTAGTTGCAAGGCGGCTTTTGGCGACTGAGAGTAGATGATGGAGATGATCAGTTGCTGAAATCGGTCGATGTGAGCGCTCTTACAACTGGAGATAAACAGTCGATCTCCGGATTCAGTCAGTTGCCCGTGTTCTACTTTTCGGCAACTAGTTTTACTCAGATCCGGAGATATCACCCGATGTGCGCGCTCCAACAACATGTGTGTATTGCGTGTATTGCGCCCTCTACAGTTTATGTCAGAAAACACACTGTAGTTGAGGCCAGTTGCTGTCAATGTATGCGCTGTTATTCCCGAGACTGGCCTGCTACTAGGAGATGCCCGTTTTCGCCACATTGTCAATGTGTGCGGGGCAGGAACTCAAAGGCGACGGATATATTCAGGTGACAGTCCGATGTACGCTAAGCAAAAGAGATGACATGAGAACAGTGACAAGGAAAAGTGTGAAAAAGTTCCCTCTCTTCACACACCTGGCTCTGGCTCTCAGAGGCAATCAAAATACCATGTCAAAGAGACATGTTTTTTTGGATCTGAACAACTATTTACCCACATTAAAGTGTCTGGGTCAAAATGACCCGCAACATCATCTTTGTATACAAACTCTGCACAGACATTCCACTACACATCAAAGTGTCCAGATTTTACACACCTGTTCATGACCCTAGATGAGGAAAAGTCACCAAATTTCAGGACGAAAAATAAAGGATAACTAGTACTTTGATCAACACAAAAACTGAAATGGGTCAAATTGACCCTTAACATAATACAAGGGTTAAGGCCTTGTTTATCCAATCAAGATCTGTTTTTTAATTATGTTATGATTCAGAAATCTCACCGTTGGTTCAATTCATGAAGCAGATGTATGGCAAGTTATGTAAAAAAGGAATTAAGATTTGGTTTTAATTGTAATTTTGTTGGCAAAGAAAGTAATTTATGGTCTTAAATGAATATAGTTTAAACTTGTGCTAGTGCAAGTACACACTAACAACTGGTATAAGGTTCTTGTTTTGTTTCTTAAGTGGTTTCTATTTCACACTTTTAGTTTCTCATTTTAAAATCAACGTCCAAAGATCTCTTTATTGTCTCAATAGGAAGAAACTGATCATTTTTGTCATTGTACTGTTATCTCAGACAGTGCGGGTTTGACACAAAGCGAGTAAATTGTCCTTGCCCAATAATCCAAGCCCACCTGTCCCCTTGTTTCAGCTGCCCTCCAAGGACTCCCCTAGAGCAGGCCCCCAGTGGAGCGCATGGGTACTATCCTGTGTTCCGGAGCCACTGCGTCAGCTCAGTAAACAAGCGCTTGTCCCCGGGGGCCACAGGGCAAGAGCATGTAGCCCAGAGTTTCCATGGAGAAGCCAAACACAAGCAGCTGACATGGCCTGCACCATGCCCAATATTACTCAACGCTATTATTCATGTGCATCACGATTAGGATTGCAAAATATGTGGAAATGGGGAGAAAGTACAGTCTTTGCGATTTGCTAATTGTGACTTGGATTTAATCCTTTACATTCAACAAAATATACAAGAAATCTCTGGATAAAATGTTTTTCTAAATGCATTTCTTGTGCGCGTTCATAATTAAGTAAATCATCAGATTATATATATTCTCATTGCACCTGGCCAAATGTATCAATATATAGACATGTAGGGAAAGCAAATGTGTGCAGCAGTTTTAAACAGAAGAATAGGGAGCGCTTCATTGATGTCAATAATGTATATTTCAAGTCAAGTCAGGTGCTCTTTGTAGGCTCTTTCTATTGTAAATACGTTTATATGTAAAACAGTGAGAAACAGCTACCATGACACTTCTACTGCTCCCTTACACTCTGTAAAGTTGTAAAGTATTCAAAAGCTGCACTGTCAATGAAACCAGAGTGATGCAGTTTGTTGCTGACACACGCCCTCTGCTGGACACTGAGACTCAAGGCAGTCAGACTAAATTTAGTTTTGAGAGAAGAAAAGACTGCAATTAAACAATCATTGACAGCTGTAAAGACGTTCACAACTGGTTTCTATGCAATATGTGACCAATTAACTCTATGAATGATTCACAAGTTTAATCACTAGGCCTATAATTACTATATCACCACATCGTTCAATAACTGATGGACAAAACAATATTGGGTCGTAATACTATTTTTGTGCAATAGTTAAGACACTTTTACCATTTTCTGTGCAAAACTGTGAGGGGTCATATAGGTTGATCAAAATTAACAACATTATTTTATTGAAAGGGGAAAAAGGCAAAATGTTATTTAGCCAAAGAAGCCTTTAACACCTCTTCAACTTGTTTTCACTTTAATTCACAATATTAGGAGTATGCAAGTACGATTTAAATCATTATCCATTTGGATTTCACTAACCCATTTCACAAATTAGTTTTATATGACAGAAAAGTTGTCCCAGTGAGTGACCATGGAAACCAGACAACAGGGCTGTGTGCTTAGGGTCGTTGTCCTGCTGAAAGGTGAAACGTCACCCCAGTCTGAGGTCAAAAGCGCTCTGGAGCAGGTTTTCATCCAGGATGTCTCTGTACATTACTTTCCCTCTATCTTGACTAGTCTCCCCCACAGCATGATGCTACCACCACCATGCTTCACTGTAGGGATGGTATTGGCTTGGTGATGAGCAGTGCCTGGTTTCCTCCAAACATGACCCCTGGCATTCACGCCAAAGAGTTCAATCTTTGTCTCATCAGACCAGAGAATTTTTTTACTCATGGTCTGAGAGTCCTTCAGGTGACTTTTGGCAAACTCCAAACTAAGGAGCGGCTTCCGTCGGGCCACTCTACCATACAGGCCTGATTTGTGGATTGCTGCAGAGATGGTTGTCCTTCTGGAAGGTTCTCCTCTTTCTACAGAGGAACGCTGGAGCTCTGACAAAGTGACCATCGGGTTCTTAGTCTCCTCCCTGACTAAGGCCCTTCTCCCCCGATTGCTCAGTTTAGATGGCCAGCCAGCTCTATGAAGAGTCTTGGTGGTTCCAAACTTCTTCCATTTACGGATGATGGAGGCCACTGTGCTCATTAGGACCTTCAAAGCAGCAGACATTTTTCTGTACCCTTCACCAGACTTGTGCCTCGAGACAATCCTGTTTCGAAGATCTACAGACAATTCTTTTGACTTCATGCTTGGTTTGTGCTCTGACATGCACTGTCAACTGTGGGACCTTGTATATACAGGTGTGTGCCTTTCCAAATCAAGTCAAATCAACTGAATTTACCACAGGTAGACTCCAATGAAGCAATAGAAGCATCTCAAGGATAATCCGTGGAAACAGGATGCACCTGAGCTCAATTTTAACCTTTATGCAAAGGCTGTGAATACTTATGTACATGTGATTTTTTCATGTTTTCTTTGTAATACATTTGCAAAAATCCCCAACAAAATTGTTTTCACGTTGTCATTATGGGGTATTAAGGGAATTTTTTTTATCTCATCCATTTTGAATCCAAAATTGAAGTTAAACTATCGAACATTCTATCGACCTTGTTTTCTATCGCGATATATATCGTTATCGTTATATCGCCCAGCCCTACTTTCTGGATTAAACATAGATATGATTTTGTGGGTGTATTCAGCCATTACCTGAGTCATCTTGTCCACAGACACAGGGATGCCGTCGATGGTGAGGGGGGGCAGGTCAGAGGCCAGCTCGCCCCCCGCTGGAGCATGCTCTGCCAGGGCGTTCTCCAAGTCCTCCAACATCATGCCTTTGTACTTTCTCACCTGGTCACAGATTTTTGTTATAAAGGTTTCATATAAAATAATATTTTGTTGAAGATTTGGAATATGTTTTATATACAAAATATATATATTTATTAGGGCTGTCAAACGATTAAAATTTTGAATAAGTTAGAGTTACAGCTTAAACATTTATTTAACGTAATTAATCGCATTTCAAACTATCGGCAAAATTATGCCATATTTTTTGTGTAAATGGTTGTTTGAATGGAAAGATAAATGACAACATAGTGTACATATGTACTGTATTTGTTTACTATAACAATAAATCTGCATAAAATGGCAAATACAAATACCGTACATATGTACACTATGTTGTCATTTATCTTTATAAATTAATTTTTAAGCAGTAATTAACTCAATCAAAAAATTTAAATCGTTTGACAGCCCTAATATATAACCACCAACCATTCACACATACACCAGATTCATTCTAGGCAATGTGGCTGAAGTGTCTTGCCTAAGGACACAACAGCAGTTTGGCACTTTACAACCGCAGCTGCCCCACTGTGGCATCCGGTGTTCCCAGAGGTTAAGTGCCAAGGACACAACAACAGCAGACATCAGTGGGAGTCGGAGAAAGTCTTGTGGTGGGCTCGAACCCACGACCTTCAGGCTCAAAAAATATGAACAATAGGACTGTGCATGCGCCTCCTGTACTGGCGACCCCGCTCCCATCTCTGTGTGGAGTGAGAGACAAGTGCCCAAAAAAATAATAACAATTGTAAACCGCTTTGTGACCCTTGTCTGTGAAAGGCGGTATATAAATAAACATTACTTACTTACTTACTTACTTACTCAAAGGCCAATGCGCTACTAACTGAGCTACTGTCGCCTCAAATAATAACAATAATGCTTTGAATGCTTGTTGAAGTCTACCTAAACACTTAAGTCACTGTTCCTCCTCTCCACACTCGGTGGTGATGGGTGAGGCTGCCAGTCGACCCCTCCACCTCCCAGCACCACACTGTTTTGACCAACCAGGTCCTTCTGTTCTGTCCTTCTATCCTTCTATTCAGACATGGTCTGTCAATGCTGTGTTAAAAAATAAGACATGTGTCAAATACTTACCACGTTCTCCAGAGGAGCAGCTCCAAAGACCTTGAAGACGGGGTTTGGTTTGGAGGGAGAGATGCACAACACAATGGCCTGCTGACCGACTCTGGTGGTGTACTCGTCGAGAGTGGCTCGTAGTTTCCTGGGAAGCGCATACACACATACACTCAAGAGAAATCCTAAGTCAATCTATGATGATGTTTTATGTTGTACCTTAGTAGTCGGGTTTGTTGCCGCTTCCGAATTGATGGATTGGATTCAAAAATGTGAGGCCTTTTCCTTTTCTTTCCGGTAGCGACAGCTGCTGCGGCTGCCATGCCAACAGGTCCTGAAACATTTTATTTAATCTGCATTATAGGTTTATGTAGGCCAGCAAACTTATTCTAACGTTCAATGTACCAAACTATGAAACTTTGAAATACCTCCACCTGCTGGTCAACTTTAAGCATTACAATAGACTTAGGGTTAGGGTTAAGCCTAGTGTATACTCGCACGGCGCAGAGCTTACAGAGGTGATGTCACTTGCGCAACACATTGGTCACAGCAAGGCCCTTACGTTGCCTGCCGCGCAGCATCAACATTTTCTAACTATGCAAGGGTCGCCGCAAGGAAACTCCGCTGTGATTGGTCCGTGTGTGTGTTTTGGGCGGAAGCATGAAGCGGCTGCAGCAGGGACATGGACGAGGCAGTATGGAGCAGAGAGCTTTGTGCTTCGAAGGAAACGAAGGAAAAGCAGCCTGATATACAGGAGACTGTGGACTATCTAACATATATATAACTTATAAACTGTGCAGTCGTTTGTTTTGCACTGTTCCCGTCTTTGTTTGAATCTGCACTCGTAGCTTATCACGTCTGTTCTATTCCTCCTGCACTTATAAATTGTTCATGTTTGCCTCAGATATTTACCATTTATTGTTTTGCTGTTTCTGTTGAATACAATTTAATAATAACTATGTTTCCAACAAGAACTGTGTCTTTATTCACAACTTCACAGTTAAATTAGTTAAGAAATAATGAGTCCATAGAACTATCACATAAACCTACAGTAGAAACGCAAGTAATGATCTCAAACAGCTCGGTTTGTTCATGTTTTTGTTCTGAAGAGGAGAAAGAAGCAGCGTAAATGAGACTGCTTTGGTATCTCAAGCAACTCCTGTGAGATCGTCATCATGTGGTTGGTTGTGGGATTACAACATTTTCCTCGAAACTCCGCAAGGAGTATAAAATAAATTGTGCTTGCGTAGGTCCACGGCAACCGCTAACGTAAGCAGCGCCGCGGAAGTATACGCTAGGCTTTAGGGTTGATCATTTACATTGAAGCTTCCATATATATACAAACTAGAAACTATCGACTCAAACTTGAATCAAAAGAGAAAAAAAAGTTGTTTGTTCTAAAACGTGTACTTTTAAACCAAACATTTATCACTAAGAGATTAATTATTTTGTTACATTTCTTGTCAAAAACTTTCCTTAAGAATCCCTGAATGTTTTCAGTAAATGTGAGTATTGTAGGTACAGTCTAGATAATTTTAGAGCATTTGCCATGCCCCCTTTTTAAGAGCAAACAATCGATAGACTGGTTGTGTGTTTAGTAGGTCTAGAAGTCCTTTGGTTGATGAAAGCCTTATAGCTCACACAGACGTACCTGCAGCTGCTAGATGTGCAGTGACCTCATCAGTTCCCGCTGAGTGGAGGATGTCAATGTCATCATACGGGTCATCATCAGGGGACGACGTGGAGTCCTCATCAGCGCTCATCATGGACGCCTCTGTGTATGTGGCCACGTGCACCTGGACAAACTCACCACACAATCACCTCAACATAAAGAAGCCAACATGTGCAGGACACAGTGCTCTCCACAAACACTGGCACATCGACAGCTTTAGGCCACAAGGCCTTTGCTCGCTTAAAAGGAAACATAACCTAAAAATGTACTAATCTCAACTTTGGGCAAGTTGTCATTTTCCTTTGTCCTTCACACACACACACAAAGCTGTTTTATTGCGTTTAAGTTATTTGTATCCTCCCATAGGCACGCTGCCATTGCTCTCCCCTGACTCCTCCGAGGGGAGGTTTGTGTCCTGAATCTGTGATGTTTTTTTTGCTCAAAAGGAAAAAAACATTATCGCATCACAACTCTGTCTGTGGAGGTGCTGAACTATACATTTGACAATGTTTCCCTGACACTCTGACAAAGGAGGCTAGAGAATGGGACTGAAGGGGGAGACATTTCATAAGAACCATATATTAAATAAAGGCCAGAGATTGTATTACAGAGAGGTGCTTTACTCAACTGCCCTGGTAGCAGCCAACATTTTAGGGGTGGGATACAATGTAGTCCTTTTTAATGTTGTCATTAATATGTATTGTTTTTTTACATTTTGACTTCTTCAATAAATTAAATTAAAAAGCATAAATAGTGTTGTCTTTTAGTTTAAATGGGGTGGGGCGTTACATAAGAGGCAAAACATCCTTTATATATTAATGAACCGCATCGTATCAAATGTCCCCTGTATCAACATTTGTACTATATCGGCAGGCTCTGAAAGATAAGGTCAAATAAGGCCGCACATCCCTGTGATCTGAGCTGGCGTGCTGGATTAAAAAATGCAAGACGTAGAAAACAGTGAAAAATAATCCGCACAGCTATGTAGCTCCCAAAAACAGTGTAATTTATTTACATACCACACAAAATAGTAACGTTTCGGGCTGAGGCCCTTCGTCAGACTAGGCTCTGAAAGATACCCAGAAGTATTACTGCAAAATCATCCATGATTAATGAATGTGCAAGTTTTAAAGTCAAACAAAGTGACATTTCAGGCAAAATATTAACATCTCTATGACAAGAAACCGGTTGAGAACACTTCCCAAAAAAAAAAAGGGGAGTAGGGAACGCAGTTGTAAAGAATGTCATTTTCTCCTTTTGTAGGCAGCAATTTTTTCATTGCTGATCAAGTTTGAAGACTGAGCATTTGGTGTTTGTACCAATATGTGTCAGAAGTTCCTAATATTAGCATGAAACATCTATTCTGCTTTTTACCAAGTGTTATTTAACTTAATTTGATTACAGACATATCAGATGTGCCAAGTTCAATGGAAAACACTGTGTGGATGTTTTCAGTAGAAACGTATCCAGACCTGATGGACCTGGCTGACCGCGCTGGCCTCGATGGTGGTCATTTGCTCTGTCTGGTGAACAGTGTGCTCCTCCATACCGCCAAACCAGGTCTATCGAGGCTCAATGCAGGGAAAACTGACTGAGGGGACATGAACAATATATGGAATACTTACATTTATGATTATACTTTTGTTAGTACACAATATGGATAACCTGAATATAGCCTAATATTAGGTTGGGTCAGGCCACTCTTGTCTGCAGGCTCAGTAACATGCTGTTTTTCTAAGTGACCAGCAGAGGGCACTAAAGCTCAGCGTATGTTTCGTGTTGTTGAAAAAGATATCAATAAAAAATATATAATCATAAGAATCCAAGGGGTTTTTACCTCAATTCATTAGCTTTTCAATGTTTGGATAATCAATCACATTTATTTATAAAGCACATTTCATACAGTGTAACCCAAAATGTATCTCACATGTGCATGGCAGGTTGTTTCAAATCAAAAATCTGCCCAGCCCTCAATACATTTGTTATGTTAATAGTTAAACCTGACTAATTATAAGGCTTAATACAAACACACAAACAGTGCAATATCTACCAATATAAATATTTTATTGTATATACATGTATTACTCTGTGATTGAAAGGGGATAGCAGATACATGCATTGTGATGGCATTGGCATGAGGTTGGCTAATGAAGAGGAATGAATGCAGATTTCAAAATATAAATGCATTGTGAGGTTGTAGACTGTTGGGATATGTAACTTTTTATTCAGAATACGTGATGTCAAAGCAATTTCCTAGTCTGTGACTTCCTGAATACTTACATGGCAATAAAAGTTATTCTGATTCTGAGGGGTTTTTTTCCAACAAAAAGAGCATTGTAAAATTTAAATATTGCAGACCATTTCAGACCACAACAAGCCAACTTCATTTTGTTAGAAAACATGTTATCTTGTGCATAATTATTCAAGTCACTATAATATTTGACACATTAGGTTAGAAGATATGTGGTCCTTTCTTTTTTCACTTAACTCTCTGACAACATGCTTGTGAAAACTAATGATGAACCAGTATTAGGTAGGAACTAGTTAGATTCATTTATATTTAAAACCCAGGGGGACAGGGCCTTCTCTGTGGCTGGACCAAAGCTGTGGAACGCTCTGCTCCCCCCATATCCAAACTGCTCCTTCTGGGGAGTGTTCCAAGTCTCTTAAGACCATAGACTGTATCTTAAGACCCATTTTTATGCTTTGGCTTTTAACACTGCGTGAGTTGTATGGTCCTTTTATTTTCATTTTATTTTATTTCCCCTTTTTATTGTTTTTTTGACATTTATACATATTTGCACACACAGTTTTTCATATTTGATTTTGTATTATTTTACTGTTTTACTATGGATTAGTCTTAATTGTGCAGCACTTTGTAAACTGTATTTATGAAATTTGCTATATAATTTATATGGATAGAGCACTTTAATGATTTGCACTTGTTTTGAAACTGTTTTAGTCGATCGATTTCACAGTGACATTAATTTACTGTTTTATTTGTTTTATTTCTGTCTTTTAATGTTGTTTTATGTCTGTATTTGTCTGTGCACACTTTGACTTTTTGCTAATGTTTTCCAATGTGTTTTTTTTACTGCAAATGGCAAATAAAATGAATCTGAATCGGATATTAATTAGTTCCCTTTTGTGTCATTTGAAATTTCATCTTTAATTGTATCATTTATTCTATGACCAATTCCCCACCATCCATAAGCTCCCCCTCCCCCACGACACTGAATAGGCTTACATTGAATGAAATGAGGACGAATAAAACATTATTTACCATTATTTCAACTGGAAACGCACAACAAAGCAGTAATTTAGAGGGGCAGATTATCCTGTCTGCAAGTGGCTATGCTAGGCTAACACTGCCCTACATTCGTGCTAACCCACTAGCCAGTTCACCATTTCGACCCAAAACGTGTACAACATGACAGTAAACACATACGAATCTTAAACCTATGAAAACAACCAGGCTGAGGAAGAACTGCGGGTTTCCTTGAAGCAGGAGCAGAGAACATCGAGACGAAGGCATGGAGCTAACACGAAACCCGCGCAATGTTCGCTAGCTTACAACAAACACAACAGGCCCCAGTCTCATCCATTGCGTGCCATAGTGCTAGATATGAATGAGCGCCTAAATGTGCAAATGTGTGTGATAGAACAACGAAGCTGTGTGGAAATGGCGTGCAGACAGCATCTAAACAGCAGCCCCCATGTTCCAGTGCTGCCGGTGGCATTGATGCGGCTGCGCCAGGCTGAAATAAATGGAGATTGCGCGGTAGGGCACTAACCTCAGAGCGGCTGCGCTGGTCCGGGCCTGCGCGGTGTACACAGATCCAGCTACGAATGGAGGAGGACCAAAGACTGGAGACAGCACAGCAACAGCGCCCACCCTGTCTGCCCTACGCGATGCAGCCAAGCACCTACAAGCACCCAAAGCACCCAACAAGTGCAATGTGCCTTTGTCTTGAAGCTTAAAGCTGGGTTTCTTTTCTCTGACAGTGTTTAAATACAGGTTAAAACAGCTTTGTTTAGCTGTGCATACAACTGAAGGATTGTCAACACTCTTTTGAATACATTGATTATCTATGATTTACTTTGAGATATCTTGTGTGTATAAACCTTTCCTTGCCTATATAACAAATGTAATGCAAAGTGTGTGATGTAATGCAAAGTCAAATTAACGTGAATTAAGATTAAGATCAAGAGATTATTTGTCCCACAGTGGGGAAATTTCAGTGTTGTGTCACAAGTTATAGAACAGTAGGAAAGGGAAGTACACGGCACAAGTTAAGAGAACAATAGCTATACTAATCAAAATAAAACAACATCTCTAACTCTAGCATCAATAACAAGTATAAAATCTCTATCTTGAAAATAATGACAATAAAAATAAGAGTAAAAGTTTTACATTTGGCAAAATAAGAGGCAAGTATTAAAGTATACATAGTTCCCACAGACCAATGAATGTCACATGACCTCCTCGGAGACGCCATCTTTGATGGCACGCTGCTGTGTTTGTGCATTCCATTAAACAGAAGAATGAGAATAAATGTAGATATTCAAACGCAAATTGGAAAAAAAGGGCTACTTTTGAGCAAATAATTGTATATTAATACAATGGCACCACAGTTTAACGTGCTACGGACATGTTTTACATATTTGATCAAATTATGCAGCAAAAATTAACAAGCAATGCAAACATTTCTCAAAAACTTTAGATTTAATACCAGTTGGAGCTCCATTTAATTATTTTAATTATATTAACAATTAATTTAATTAATGCTAATGCCACACGGACACTCTGGATTGCTGTTATTGCACAGTTCTTCAGAGACAAGGTTCAGGGTATCAGAAATGCCATCACCTCTACAATACAAGTAACAATGCAACATCCAGTGAGGCTTTGTGAGCTAGCTCAATTTGCACCTGTCAATGATGAAACTGTTAAAAAGATAATCACAGGTCTTAGTTCCTCTACCTGCAGTCTGGATGTACTACCTCCTAGATTCCTGAAGTCTGTTATGTGTAGTCTATTACCCTCATTGACACAAATAGTAAACATGTCTTTTTTATCTGGAACATTTCCAATGGCCCTGAAAAAGGCAGTCATCAGGCCCCTCCTAAAAAAGAGCAGTTTGGATGCTGCGGTACTTGAAAATTACCGTCCCATCTCAAATCTGCCTTTCATGGGAAAAATTCTTGAAAAAGTTGCCTACCAACAACTTACTGAATTTTTAATATCTAATGACTCATTTGACATGTTTCAGTCTGGCTTTAGACCACACCACAGTACTGAGACCGCTCTAGTCAAGGTAACAAATGATATTCGGCTTAACACTGATGCAGGAAAAGTCTCTGTTTTAGTCATGTTAGATCTGAGTGCCGCTTTCGACACCGTTGACCATGAGATTCTCATGCAGAGACTGGAGGACTGGGTTGGTGTTGCTGGTACCGCCCTAAGCTGGTTTAGGTCGTATCTAGAAGAAAGGAAGTATTGTGTGGAGATTGGAAACTATGTCTCAGATAATATGGCCCTGACCTGCGGAGTGCCACAGGGGTCGATTCTGGGACCTCTCCTGTTCAATATTTACATGCTGCCATTAGGTCAGTTAATTCAAAGTATGAAAGTGTCCTACCACAATTACGCTGATGACACTCAGATCTATGTCTCACTGACTGCAGGAGAGCATGGGCCGGTGGACTCACTCCTTCGCTGTATCCGGCGGATCAGTGAGTGGATGCAATGCAATTTTCTCCAGCTAAATGCGGACAAAACCGAAATGATTGTCTTTGGTCCCGAGAAACAAAGAGAGACCGTCATTTGTCACCTTCAGTCTCTCTCCCTAAGGCCCTTAAATAAGGTCAGAAATCTGGGAGTAATAATGGACTCTGACTTAAACTTCAATAGCCACATTGGATCGGTAACATCAGCAGCTTTTTATCATCTGAAAAATATTGCCAAAATTAAAAATATTGTGTCCAGGGCAGACTTGGAGATTCTTATCCATTCTTTTGTTTCCAGTAGGCTGGATTACTGCAATGGCCTGCTCACAGGTATCTCCAAACATGCAGTAAGACAGTTGCAGTATATTCAAAATGCTGCAGCCCGAGTCCTGACTAGAACCAGGAAGTACGACCACATTAGTCCGGTCCTCAGGTCTCTGCACTGGCTTCCCGTGGCCCAGAGGATAGACTTTAAAGCAGCTCTCCTGGTGTACAAGTCTCTCCATGGCCTTGCACCAAAGTACATCCATGATATGCTAGTCCCATATGAACCAGCCCGGACTCTGAGGAGCGCAGGGACGGGACTCCTGTTAGTGCCCAGAGTCAGGACTAGACAGGGGGAGGCTGCTTTTCAGATTTATGCAGCTAAAGTCTGGAACAGTCTTCCTGAGGATGTGAGACTGGCTGCCTCTCTGTCAATGTTCAAATCCATGTTAAAGACTTTTCTTTTTTCCCGTGCATACAACTAGAGAATTTTATCTTTTTAACACACCTTGTTATTTATTGTTGTAACTTTTTGTGTTTTTAACTATTTTATTGTTTTTAATTACTTGTGTGATTTTTATGTTTTTAAATTACTTATGTGATTTTAATGCTTTTTAATTACATATGTGTTTTTAATTGTATTTTAATGGTGATGATTTGTGCATTGTGTGGTGTGGACTGTGAGGCGCTTTGTGTTGCCCTGTGCAGGAAAAGCGCCCTATAAATAAAGATTGATTGATTGATTGATTGATTGTTTATTTCCGCGTTTTTGACCGTATGTTTTGGTGAATGGTGGGCAACTGATTTTTCCAGGCGTAAAGAGCAGTTTATTTTATGACACAGATCTTTTTACAGAAGCAATGCTGTTTGTGAACATTGTTTTAGCCCACCATAGAACTATTATTATCTATTTAATACATTTACGTTGCCCTCGAGAGCCTCGGACGCGACACCGATCCTCCTCATAATAAAGTAATCTAAATAATGAAACTCTCAAGTTACCAGCTATCAGCATACACAAGTTAGTACTGAGTAAATTACGTCTGTCAACACATTATGAGATACGATATGCACCTGACACAAAGTGCTCCGAGCATATTCTTGCGTGTTTTGAGGGAGTTTCTTGCCTGTTTATCTTCGCAAGCCATAACCTCCGTGGTTGTTCTGACAAAAGCTTAGTCTTCTCACATTCATGAAGTCTAATGATGGGTATACTGTAAAATCCAAGTTTAACGGAACCTCCAGCACGATTTGAACATCCATTGACCCAGCAGGAGATGACCATTTTCAACTTTATCACGACATTAACACGTTTCAGCTTCTTTTTCTATTGTTTTGCCCACAGAATGCCAACACAAATGGCGCCGGGTCGGCAAATCCCCGTATGTAGTGACGTCATGTGGGAACTATGTATACTGTGTATTCTAGTGCAAGCAATGTGTAGTTATATGTTTACATCTGTACATTAGCAGCAGTATGTTATACCTCGAAATGATTCCAAGTATTGAGAATACAATTCTCTGCTTGGTTTAACAGAATAATTTACAAAATACTGGAAAGATGCCTCACTGTGAGTGTGTGTCCTGACTTTGGAAATTATGAGGTCAGGACAAAACACAAGGGTGTTGATGGGTCATATTTTTTGACTGTATATTCTATATTTTATTTGCCATCTGAGTTTAGGGTTTCTGTCACAATTATTTTGTATACATGTATAATAACTTTGTGTGAAATTAATAGAAAGAGTAATAAGAGAGGATTATTGAAAACATTATTCTTCACTGAGCTCTCTCCAACCTTTAGCTTTTACGGGTACACTACAAAACAAAAAGGCCCAAAAAAAGATAGACATTATTGCAAAATTTATTATAAAACATATTGAAGGTCTTAAAACAAGATTTGCCAATTTGTGCTGGAAAGACTAAAGCTGGTTGTTCCATTTTTTTAAGAATGTCAAAACCAGATTTTTTTTAAAAACTTCATCCACAGTAGCACAACATTTTGTCAACCGTCTAAAAAGAGCAGCTCTCTGCCAGTGTTGTCCTGGTAAAAGTTTGGAGACCCCTGCTCTAGTCACTGGACTGTGTGTAAAATGCACCCTTAGTGGTCTAATAAAGATATTACAATTGCAACCACACTTTTGTTGCCAGAATCTTGCTGCCTGTATGCGTGTAGCTTCTAAGCAGTTGATCTAGAAACAGTACAAACTCTGTATTACACTTACTTTTGTATCTGTTTCATTTTTTTGTTTGTGAATTTTCTTATTAAAAATGATAGATCCTATCAAACTGGTTACTCAAATGAAATAAACGGAATTATTCAATATATAATGTCTATTGCATTTGTAATACACCCATTAACCCCCCAAATTAGCCCATAAAATCCAGAGAGGTGTGTTCATTAACATGCACGTCCCAACCAAATAAACAATAACAAGAAAAAAAAGAGGCATAAGCCAAGCACAGAATCCACAGAGTACTAGGAAAAGAAGAACATGTTTTGTTCTGGAAATGAGCTGCTTCTTTGTGTCTCATCCATAGACTGTAAATATTAATCACAAACTCAATCCAGAAGAGGGCGCTGTCCAGGGGTATCGTGGGCTGGTCTCTGGACAGCCTCTACACATTGTCCCAGTAGAAGTGGTCAGATCAGAGTTTCTGTACGTCCTGGAGAAAGCTCTCTTAGTCTAATAAAGACAGAAAACAAAGTTCCTCCCTTTTCTTTCAGGCGCAGAAGGTTGCCTTAATGGTCAAAGAACAGTGGCACCCCAGCACTGGGATGCCATGGTGAATAGCATCTTGAAGGTCTGTCGTTCACTCACAACTTCCTGCTCTCTTCAGGAAGGGCCAGAGCTGTTTCTACCTGCTGAGGAGACTCGGGTAAAGGAAAAGGCTGGACACCTTTAATAACCAGAGACAGGTGTCTGGTTAAT